TGGCACGCCCAGCCGAGAGCGAGTGTTAGTTCGATGGCTGCCTGTTTACATTGAATAGAGCAGCCATGGGCGCAGCTTTGTAACCAGCGACGCCCCGCCCGCCAACTTGGGTCCTGTTTGCCTTTTTGCTACTCAAAAACAAAAACAAACTACACGACGTTGCTTTGTGACGTCCTTGCTTTTCACACGCGCTTTTCAGGGCTATTCCCTCCAGGCAGCTACAGTTCCCTTTATGTGCTGCAGCAGAAGATAAAAAAAGAAAAACTCTGGGCTTTTTCCGGCCTTATAGCAGCGTCCTCAACAGGTTTCGCTTCAGTGCCCAAACGCGCTACTGGATCTGGCATTGTGCATCGACCTTTGGAAGCTTGCCATGCATTCATACACAGCGAGAAGTCCCAGTGGTCCAACGTCATTAATCTAGAGGGCCTCCCATATATCTCTACCAGAAAGGCGGAACAACATTTCTGTGCGGCGTATGTACGTGAAGGCCTGAAAAACCGCAACAAATTTTTCAGCAGCGTGTGATCCCGCGTGCTTGTACGTGGTCAGGCCCACCTGGCAGCCTCAGCATAGCGAGCACGTAATTGTAATGCCTACCACACGCCGCCATTTTAGGGGCGTCCTTGAAGCGGCACCCGTTCGTCCCTCGCCGTAGTCATAGTGCGTAAGCAGTATTACGCTTTGACCGGCAAGGTGGTGCCGGTGGTAGATTTTTCCTGTCATTTGTTGAACCATAAAAATTCACAGCGTGCGCGTTAACTAAAAGCCGAATTTTCCTGTCTTTCATTCTCCATCAGCAGCCATTGGTAGGTACATTGAGCACTATCTGACAAGAAAAGGTTGCTGCGTTATACTCGCTGGGCGTAACATCTTCGGTTTTAGAAAGGTTTAGAGGGCATTGGGCCGCAGTACCATGAATAAAGTTAACTAGTATATACCATGAACTCGACGTGGTGAAAGGTGGGAAGTAGACACTAATCGCAATCCATAAAAGAGTGTGCGTGTGCCACCTCTCGCTTAGTCCTTGAAATGTCCGCTGCATGGCGGTGCTTCTATATGCGGAATGTATGATGAAAAGATGAGAAATTGTGGTACTTGGAGTGTTGAGTAGATGCATGGATGGACGCACACATTGTTTCACGGACGGGTGGACGCATGAATGGATGCAGAGGCGGATGCATGGACGAACGCAGGAATGGACTCACAGATGAACGTGCGGACGCACGACCGCACACATGGACGGGCAGATGGCACATGGACGGGCAGATACGCACACACGGACGGGCAGATGGACGCGCGGACGTTCACACAGACAGACGCATAGACGGACGGAAGCAAGAACGAATGAACGGACAGATGCATTGTCCCGCCCTCCATCATTCACCTCGTGGATATGCTGCCATTTTTTTCATCGTTACAACCTCAACATCGCCGTCCTGACGTATAGATAGTACCTTGCATGTGCTCCGCCGTGATAGCAGAAATTGTGTGGTTAGGTGTCACAATGCAGCTCTGGAATCACTCAAAAGTGTGTCGAAACCGACTGTGCCGGCCTATCACACGCCGCGTTCCAGGCGCCAGCAACGATCACTTCTCTAGAGCGTACAGCGCTAAGCTCATCTACGAACAAACCCACGCCGTGAAAGCGGACACCAGAAAAAATCGCAAGAATCGTAGAAGCGAATGCAGCTGTCACCACTGCGTGTCTGTCTGCACAGCAGAAGGTACCAGAAAGATAAAGCACGGTCCTTGGCTTTGGCTGTGCTGCGCACACGAGAGCGATGTAGAGTATGCTCGAAATTGACTGAGGCCTTATTATATAAGCAGGCCGCAACAGAGAGTGCAACGATTGGTGGAAAGTGGTAAGGAGAGGCATGTGACTAGCCGGCTACGGAGAGAACAACAACCAGTGCTGGAGTCTCCGTGTTCGCTTGAAAAGAAGCTTTCGGGAATATAAAATTTTGTGAACTGACATGATTGATGATAATTTAGAGACCGTATGTGTTCAGAAAGTAGTGTGATGCATAAAATTTAATTTGTAGCGCGAATGGTTTTACTGCTGTCGTTATACTGAAAGTCATCTGAGTTATATATTGAATTCAATAGCCGAGTACGCATGTATGTACATGTGTATGTAAAATTGTACTGCCTTAACTAAAAATATATTTGGTTCTTTTGGTCAACTCTTGGCTCGGACTTGGTCTTTAGACCACAATGGGCGTTCATTAGCGCACCAAAGGGGCCAGCTCAATTGTCCAAGCTTTCATGGTGCGTTTCGAAAAGTCGATACAATGGCCTTCGGAATCTGCCCGGAGATCGCCTTCCTTAATTTTCATGGAACCAGTGACGTCAGGAACACGCTTATTCTTCATCGTCACTTTCCTGATGTACCTAAGTACCTACCATGTGCTGTGCCATGAGGGGAGAAAGAGGATGTGTGGTCTGAAATGCGCCTATTCTTCAGCCTCATCGTCATTGTCCTGACGTGTAGTAACTCGCATGTGCGGCCGCATTACGGTAGGAAGAGAATGCGTGGTTTGAAGCGTGCTTATTCGCAATGTGCATGGACTATATGTGGCGGGCCGTGCCATCCGATTTCACTGCATGAGGATGATAAACCCGTAACTCACACAGGGAAACACAAGACACACAGACGTACGCCCTGTGCCACTTTGACCGGATGAATTCTGGATTGTCCAATGAATGTATGTTAAGCCAAAGTACTTTCTCAAGAGACAGAAACTTCTAAACCTTCGATACCTCAATTCTTGCTGTAGTGCGATGAGTGGTGTCAGCTGATCGCTCGTGCATCCACGACGCCTTGCTTAATACTGCGCGTGCCACAGACAAATGCGCGAACATGAATTGACGTATCAACTGAACAGCACTCCGAGATAATTTTTGCCGAGCCTGCTTGACAGATTTGCCGCAGTAGTATGCTACTAGCGAGTATACCGCGCTGTAGCGGCTGTACAGGATCGAGGGTTTAACGTAGTGATAGTTTGCAAACGTATTACATCGTTGCCATTGCTTGTCTTGCAAGCACCATGAAGCTGTTTCTTCAACGGAACACGAACGTTCAACTTCCCGTAACATAGCGCTTGTCTAACACGTATGATAAGACTCTAACAGTGTGCAGTTCACTGCACCGGTATCATGCAGGTTTCATCAGCGCGATCGCAACAAGGATATGGAAACGAATACATGCGTATACTTTTCGCAATGTCAAAATAGTGAAAGTTTGTCAAACAACAACGTCGTTTGGATGGTACGGGTGAAGTGCAGGAGATATTAGCACAAAATCGTGAACTGTAGTGCAAACTGCACGTTTTAATGTCATAAGAATTTCGCATTCGCTGGTCGAACACGAAAGCGTTGGCGGCCTGCGGCACTCCGCAATATCCACTGTATTAGGCCGACATGCAATGCACAAGGAAAATTATGCTTTTATTTTAAGCTCACTGAAGAATAATATACAATAAATACAATCAAAGTGAATATTAACGTCGGAGGGTACGTGAAATGTAACTCGCTGCTCGTCAGTTAGCAGCTGATGCTTCATTGTCGCTGTCACTCTTGGTGCGTTCTACGTCCATTGAAAAATCTTCGAGGTCAAGGCGGTTTCTTTGAACATCACTGCTGAGAGTAACTTGAGAGATTTTCTCTGCCGAAGGATTTCGATAACCCCAACGACGCGTCTCTCACCACGCACAACACGAACACGGCGTCACTCACCACGTCTATTTGGGCGCCGCGAACAATTGACTTTGACTCTCGGCAAGAAGCGAATCGCCTGCAGTGTGCTGCCATCTATCAACTAACGTAAAAAGCAAGTGGCGCAGCGTTGGGAAAGGTTCAGAAGAGCAAACCACGAGCCTGCGCTACTTTCCACGTACAAAGAATGTTATGGGACTCATGCACCACAAAAGCACTGACGAAGGCTATACGCACGTAAAACAAAGTGCGTTTTCACTTCAAACATTAAATGACAACATTTAACTATCAAATGTCGCTTCAGAAAATGTTGCAAAGCTGATATAGGTAGTGTGCACGCTATATTCAAACGAGTGAGTTGCCACGTATTTTAACGAACACTTCACCTCTCGCAAGAACGTGTGAGATATAACGTGTTGAAGACAGTCCGGTATACTCACTTATGCACGAATGATACGAAGCGGTTTGTGTTCTTTACTTGCTAACCCGTTAACACTGAGGCTTGATGATTGATATGTGGGGTTTAACGTCCAAAACATCATATGATTACGAAAGACGCCGTAGTGGAGGGCCCTGGAAATTTCGACCAACTGGTGTTCTTTAACATGTACCCAAATATGAGCACACGTGCCTAAAGCATTTTCACCTCCATCGAAAATTGAGCCGCCGCAGTTGGAATGCAATCCCGCGACCTGCGGGTCGGCAACCGAGTACCTTAGCCACTATACCACCGTGGCGGGGCCGTTAACACTGAGGCTAGCACAGCTGAACAAAAGGGCGTCTGCCTACTGGTCATCTTCGAGAGGACGCTCCTGAACTACGCTGGTTTGCGCAGCAGTCTTCGGACAATTTGAGCGACGTTCTGGCGTGGTGTGGTGGGTAGCGTACTCGGTTCATAATTAGGAGGTGGCGAGCTCAAACCCCGTCAGAAGAAGTTTTATTTTTTCATCCATTCAAAGCACTGGGGTTTAGCGACAGGGAGGGCAAAGTAGACTTTAAGCAGGTATAATTACTATAAGGAGCTTATCCGATTGGTGGCTGAAGTCAAGGCACGGGTGAAAATTAAACACTTCACTGCAAAATACGAGTTCTCAACCTCACCACTTAAAAAAAATAAATCTTGTTTTTGGTTCACTAAGTACATGGTGAGGGAGTGACTAAGTACTACGGCTTGGTGGCGCTAGCCACCGCTTGATCTAAAGGATACAGCCATATCAATCTATCCATGCACCCATCCAATTCCGAATTCTTCAGCGTCATAGTCCTGACATATAGTGAGTACCTACCTCTATGTGCTGCATCATGGGGGCGAAAAGAGATTGCGTGGTCTGGAATGCGCTTATTCGTCATCGTCATAAGCGTCATTGTCGTTGCCCTGATGTATTGTGGGCACCTGCATATGCTGTGCCGTGATGGCAAAAAGAAAATTGGAGGTGAAGTTATTCGACAGAGATCAGTCTTTCTGGGTAAAAACGAAAAAAAGTATGAGTGGAAGGACGTTTCAGGGTGTTGGTGTACCGATAACCTACGCACACTGGACAATGTTCCAAATAAAAATGTTTCTCTCTTTCTCTCTCTGGTAAGTGTTCCAACCACCCATCCACTCAAAAGACCTCGGTGGTCAAAATTTTTTTGAACCACGCAGAGGCTATCTGCTGCTCCAATGCAAAGCGAAGAAAAAAAAAAGAAGCGATCACTGCCGTCCAGGGAAAGAAACAAACAAACAGAGACGTAATGTACAATGGGTACACGAAAAGCTTTATTCGCGCAGTACGCCAACCACGTCACGGCCAGAAAAAATCCCCCTGCTCACCCTCTACTGCGAAGAGTGGCACTAACAATGACGCCTCGCCCAAACCTCTCTACTGCGTCACGGTTGCGTACGCTCTGGGAACCAGTGAGCAGTTGTCCAGGTTGTAGAGTAAGAAGGGCATTTAGGTTGTGCACAAACCCGCTTCACCAATTAGTGACTCTTCACGGCCAAAAAATTGCTCGGGCTAGTCTACGAAGTTTCATGCACTGATTGGCAAACAACTTTTATCGGTGAGAGAAAATACATGTTTATTTCGAAACAGTGTTTCGAGCGATGCCTGGTATTATCCTATGGTGATACCGGGCATCGCTCGGAACACGGGGAGGAAAAAAAATTAGCAAATCTCGCGCATGCGAGGCTTGCGGCGGGAAGGCGACTATGTTGTGATTTTGTTTTGGGCGAAACACTGCAAAATGACGCTAAAAATATGCACAAATGTACGTTCAGACATATTTTTGAACAGTCGAATATGCACTGTTCCGCGGCGATGCTAACAGCAAAATGAAATTAGCAGCGCCAGACGTGGTAAGCTGATATGTAGCGCTTGTTCCAAAGAGAATGGTAGCCATGAGCACTGCGAGACAAATGAGCTTCAGTGGGTGGCGCTTCACTAAGTTGTCACTTACGCGATGTCGCTTACCCGGAGAAATACTTATCTACTCTCCAAGAAATACTTATCTACTCTCTATAAAATTGGACAGCCAGTACTTCAAGAGCAATCGGCGTTTAACAAAGATTACGGTCTACTTGAAAAGCAGTTCTGATTCCGAGACTGTCCGGGGTTGGTTTGATGACAGGTGTTGTGACAACGAGACAGAGGTTTTATCACCACAAAGCCTAACTAGCAGTACAGAAAGCTGATGATGATGATAACACCCTAAGTAAGGTTCATACCCACTCCGGAGGACCGGCCAAGAACTGATTACACGAGTTATACATATTCAATATTGAATATTCTTGAGAAAAATATTGTACGCATAACAAAAAGAGTGCAAGAAGTGTTGTTCTCTCATTGCTCTTTCGTTCAAAGCAGACTGATTAGTCGTTATTTTGACTACGACTGAACGTGAATGATATACTTCACACTAATATAATGATAATAAAAAAGAAAACATACAAAGTACAGACAGCGATCACTTGTAGTCTGGCCAAGCCGCATCTGCACTACCTTCATTACTGTCATTTCCGAAAAGGGAGCCATCCTGGCTACTTATGGGCAAGAGAACGCTGGGAAATCGTGGTACTTCTTTAGTCTGGAAACGTGCAAAATATCTTGTCCGTGGTGATGCTTGACCACAGACGCGTCCAGTAGCTCCATGCGGTAACTGACAGTGGACGGATGTTGCACTAACCGATGAGGGCTGCACACATTGAATATAGCTCGTGGACGAGTTTCGCAGGAGTATATAGAACCCACAACCATACCAGTGTGCCAGACTCAATATATTTTGCAGTAGATCATTCATCATAGTGATGAGATATGAATGAAGGGGCAAACAGGTAACATTTTTCTGCATATGCGGCTGCTCTTGAAACGGTTGTGAACTCTGAAGACTCCATCCAGTACGGAAGAATTCTGTCCATTGTGGAAGAAGGTTCATGTCCATAAAGAAGAAAGAAAGGCGAAAATGCAATGGTGCTTAGTGTATCCTTGTTGCAGGCATGCGTGACGAAGGATAGTATGGTGTTCCAATCAGTGTGGTAAGATGAAGTGTACAGAAAAATAATTGCCAAGTACGCGATTGAAACGCTTCATCATCCTATTAGTTTGGGGTTGGTATGCTGTGGTAGTGTGGCGTATGATGTGACACTCTTTCAGCAAGGCTGCAATATTATTGGTTATAATATAAAAACACGGTTGCTATCACTGCGTAATTGTCGAGGCACTCAATGCTCTAAGACGAGTTTTCAGAATATGAAGCTCGCCACGTCTTTTGCTACAGCAGAAATCAGCGCTGATGTATCTGCTTACCGAATCTTGTGATCGATGGCCAGTATAACCTAGTGGTTGCCGCTTGGATTGTAAGGAAGTGGACGCTATATAGCTAGTTCCGTAGATTGTCACGCCACCCCCTGCCGCCAGCCTAATTTTTTGAAAAAGTATCGAAGTAGCGGTGGGGCAGTGGCGCTCATAGCATGTGCATGTACAGTCGCGGGCACGTCTGTGTAGAGCACGCAAGCAGCCTGTTCTTGCTTTGCGGCACCAAACCTTGCGGCAGTATCAGATTGTGACATGCTCAGCCTGATAACTAGGCTACACATTCTCCTGTTACACCCCTCCGAGCCCGAACCTCTCTCATGGTTTTGACCCGCAAAGCGAAAACCGGCTTCTCGCGTGCTCCAGACAGACTTGGCCGCGGCTGTACATCTTGGCTGGCGTTGACCGTCACTAGAACATTTCTGTTGTAGTTACCGGATGCACAAAGGTCACTGCAATTGTTGCACAGTCTCTATTTGCGAAAAGGGTGCGCTTTTCATACACCACGAAGTTGCAACTGAGACGCTTATTCGCGTTCATTTTTACCTGTGAGTACGTTTCGTGCGTCATTTGTGCTTGAGAAACGCGGGGCACGTTTTGATGTGCTTGCCATTCGGCGCGTGAACATCCGACTAGTTGCTATTGCAGTCATTGCTTCGCCTTTGCGGCAAAGCTGTGACTTGTTTTTCAAAAGAGCGTCAAAAACATCGGCGTTGCGATAACTTATCGGTATCTTACATCGCTATCTGCTCAAAATTTAGGACATGATAAGAAATACAGAAAGCTATTGCACTATCTGGCGTTTTGCTTGACAAATCATGTAATGATCTTGAGGCACGCCTTTAGTGGAGGGCAACGTGCATTAACATCGCACGCCACAACAAATGACGTGTTTGAAATGCATTTCTTGGCGAACTTCGGCGACTTTGAGCATATCTATCTATCTATCTATCTATCTATCTATCTATCTATCTATCTATCTATCTATCTATCTATCTATCTATCTATCTATCTATCTATCTATCTATCTATCTATCTATCTATCTATCTATCTATCTATCTATCTATCTATCTATCTATCTATCTATCTATCTATCCATCTATCTATCTATCTATCTATCTGTCTATCTATCTATCTATCTAACTATCTATCTATCTATCTATCTATCTATCTATCTATCTATCTATCTATCTATCTATCTATCTATCTATCTATCTATCTATCTATCTATCTATCTATCTATCTATCTATCTATCTATCTATCGAGCCGCATACGATCTTTAGCTGTCCTGGTCGTTTGGAAATTGGTATTGCTACAAAACTTGGTAAGATATAACATGTATGGCAAACAAAACTGACCAGTCACAACATGAAATTCATGACATGTATGTCATAAACGTCATGAGTTTCATGGCATAGTCTTCCTGCTCTTGCGGTGGTTTCATTCACATGGCATGTTGCAAAACTGGTATGGTATAACATGAATGCATGGCGAACAGAAGCGACAAACGCTTACATGAAAATTAAAACATGCGTGTCATGTAACAACATGACTACATGCCACGCTCATGATGCGCTCGTGGCTGTTTCCCTAGCGTCACATACACCAAATTTCGCATTAGGTACGTGAATGAAGAATGAAGGTATGCCACTGGTGGAAACATGATAATCGTGAGATGCACGTCATGTAACAACATGACAACATGCCATGCTTATGATGCTTTCGCGGCCGCTTCGCCAGTTTGTCAAGAACCAAATTCGGTATCACGGAACGTGAACAAATTACGAAGTTATGTAACTGGGACAAACGTGATAATCGTGAGTTTCGTGTCATGTAAAAACATGACTACATGCTACGCTTAAAATGCGCTCGTGGCCGTTTCGCTAGATTCATATGTACCCAATTCGGTATTACGTGACGCAAAAGGAGAACATACGTAAATGACACGTCCAAGCATTATCATCATGACATTTGTGGCATGTAACAACATGACTACGTCCCACTCTTATGATTCGCTCATAGCCATTTGACAACCTTCCCATTTGCCGAAATTTGGTATTACGGCACGTGAATGAATAATGAAAGTATGTGACTGGTGCAAACATGATAATGATGAGATGCGTTTCATGTAAGCACAGTCTTACACGCCACACTCAAGGTGCCAACACGCTTTGACGTGAGTCGGCGCGCGTGCGTGCTGGCGTTTTTTTTTATCGCGTCACGCCGGCGATGCCACGCCAGTCGCCGATATCCCCCTAGTAGAGATCATTGGATCTGCCCACAGACCTTCACTGTGGATCTGCATGCCATATACTCGTAGGCGCGCACCGCGCTGCGTTGCTTTAATGCATGTGCGTTTGAGTGCACACGGCGTCCCTTTATTACCAACAGAGGCAGACGCGGTGCTGTCGAAGTAACATCATCGTCGGCAAAGGCAGCATGTCGCATTTCGCCCCGGTTGCCACCGGGCGGCGCTGACGGACGCTGGTCGCGCCGGTCGCGTCTTTCGTCGCACTATAGAGTGCAAGCGTTTTGCTAGCGTGGCGTCGCGCCGCCCAGCCTGCGCGGGCGTCAACGTTGCGTCCGAGTATATTGGGCCCTTCATGACA